TCATTGAGTCATGCATACACGCATTAGAATTTACCATGCACCATAAACTGGACAAAACTGTTCAACATACCTACGGAGGATCCACCTACTTTTGCATAAGTAGGCAACCCACGAGTAGTTTCACTCTAGAAAAACTTTCGGCGAAAAGCAGGGGCCCTTGTGGTCATAGTTATAACATCTGGTTTGTGGTTCCACCACAGATACGACCACAAAGCGGTGTCTCCAAAAGTCGGTACCTCGGCTATCTGGTCGAAGTTTGCTTATCAACATAATTCTAAGGAGAGGCTGTGTAATTGAGGACTATCAGGATATGGTTACATAACCATGGCATACTTACCAGAACCACCAAAATTCAGACATCAAGTAGCGACCTAGACCCTCGATTACTACAAAGCTAGGCTGCTGTTAATCTTTTCTTTTTAACACAAGGACCCTTCTTATCTATCAGGCATAATGAATTATACCGTCGAGATATAGCATGTATCGCAGTCATTTGGTGATATCGATCTTCAAGAGAAAGTTTCTTCATTAGATATAACAACTTGGAAACTTCCAGAATTAGGCTTTGCTTTAACTGTTGTCGTGCTTTTGATGAGCTCGAAAAGACCACACCGACACAATTCCCCACGATGAGCTTTATATCGCACGCCTTACTTGAATTAATTAGATCTACTTTTAGGTTTCCGCTGCCGTTGCTCAAATAAGAGCCTAGGCATAGCCAAACTTACTCCCAACATTTAGGAAGTTTCAGAATATATCGTTTCTACAAACCCAATCCTTGGTTCTGTATCTTCTTGGGACGGGTATCCAGAACGAACGTGAGCAAACATTAGTGACAGGTTCTGACGAACATCAGCAACCACCTAGTCACTAAAACTTGACTTCCGAATTCATCAGGTTATATCAGAATTTTATTGGTCCTTTCCGTTTATTTGGAATTTAGAACCATTTATGTTTTCACCTATAAATTATATGCAATTTTCTCTGGTACTGTTTTATCACCACTTTTCTTTATTCATTTTTCATTGAATTCATTTGTATTCGCATCTGTCATTCATGCATTTATTTACTCAAATTCAAATCTCAAATTTCGTATAGAGATACACTGAAATTGTATGTAAACTTGAATACTAATTGAGAGCGTTTGAAAACCGTAAGTGCTATATAATGCAACTTCGATTCTCATGAAAATACGCTTGCACCATCGTCGTCTGACATATGACACACGCATATAACCATGCATCCGCAATGCATATGCACATGAGACATTTAGATCCCGTGATGGTAAACACGTGTTTGTCTTCTAACTTACCAGTTTATGTGTGTATTTAATTTCACCTCATTCTGCACGTCGATACCCAAAGGATTAGTACTAATTGTATTTCTTCATAGCTTTATCAACAGTGATCTAAAGCGTAAAGCTTGATCAGTGTTGTAGCCTGACTTCTACATCAAGACTTCTATACTCTAACATGTTTGTGCGAGATCACCAAGTCTATATATGTTGAGAAATCTGACTCATGAAGCGTTGAACTTTGAAGCGTCAGGTAAAAAGATATATTCTCCTTCGGAACAGATGGCGGCCGATCTCGTTTAAATAAAAAACGTTTGATTATGTTTTTATCTTGTCTCGGATTAAACAAAAACGTATCATACTATTTGTTTCTCCAATGGACTCATCTCAGTTGCATCACGTATCTCAGCTACAATCGTTTCAATTTAAGAATAATTGTATACAGTTTACCAAAAGCTACTTTTGAACACTGGAATTTAAATCTCTTCTAAACCTGGGTGAAATTCTAATTTCTTTTCATAAATCTTCGTGTCTCGTTTCCTATGCTGAATGCGTTAACCTCGACAAAGTCATCCTGTTTACTTTGTCTGTGATGGTGCATCATTCGTATGCATAAATCTTTGATTCCCTAATTAGGCAGTATTAATTAGGATTAGAATATTTAGCAGTACATCACCGCGAGATAATCATGAACTACCCCTGCCTCCATTTGCACTCTGATTGCGCAACTAAATATCGAGCTAATGGAAACAAGTAACACCATCAAAATTTTCCTATTCCACGGTACAATAACCCGATCCGCTTTATACGCACCATTAGAAGAGCACTCCTTAATAATTGAAGTCAGTCAAACTATCGAAATCTTTTATTTGTGGAGGCAGCCTCGGAACACGTGTTTTGTTTGAGTTAAGTAATGCAGTGTTTGTATAAGAGTTAGAAATGATCCACGGTAAGCCAAAAAGCTCATCCTTTGTCCAATTGGCTAGATAAGCTCTTATTCTAAATGCAACAATCTTGTATGCACAATTGCAGCGCTGAAGACGCTACCGGGTTACTGAATATCTTAATCGTTTAGCAAAGAAGAAAAATGGGCATTCAGGTGTGAGTACTGAAAATAGAAAACGATATGATCATGCTTTTGTCTTCGAAGAAAGCTTTCTTCGTTTGAACTGGGATCAAACTTTTAACATACCCGCGACAATGCTAGAATCTTTATGGTCAGAATTGAGAGTGTAAGAGAAAACTGTTTAACAGGATATTTTTTGAAGAATTTCGCTTATTGTTGACCATTTTTCAGACTACAACTGCTCGCAACGAACATAGGTTCAGTCCTCGAATACTTTGAATTTTCTCAAAAACATGAGCAAATAATTTTATTGAAATAAAATGTTTTGTGGATTTGATGATAATATTTGCTTGTTTAAAAAACTACTTTAAGCGTTACATTCGTAAAGTAGAAGGTTACGGAATGACAATTTCAGAGAAAAACCTACCAAATCGGATTTCAAGAGGGCGAAACCGCTCGAATCACTTCTGTCACACTACCAGCAAAAGATGTGTTTCACATTTATCCATTTATCCACTTGATTGTGACAGTATTTTAAATGCAAGCGAAACGGACCTGTTTAAAACGTTCGATACAAATAGTTCCATCAAGTCAATGAATTAAGCGGTCCCTATGTAAGCACATTTTTCCAAATTGCTTATACCCGTGTATCCTGTTGATTATTATTTGAGGGTTCTCCCACTGATTGGGAATAGTTAGAGTGATATAACATCCTCATTGGACTATTCATTTGGATTCTGAAATCACATTCTGTTTCATGTAGGACCAGCAGGATTTTACATGAAACCAACAACTCGGCACAAGCTCAAGTAAGTAAGTAATTGTCTGTGATCTCTCTCAGTAAAACTTCTTACCCTCAGGGCCCAATAAATACGCTACTTTTGTCTTCTTGGCTTTCTATAACTCAATGTACTCTAAGGTAGCCTTCACATTGACGCTTTGCCGTTGTGTTCGTTTTATACTGCGACAGACTGTCATGCGTTCAGGAAGTATTTTCCAACCAGCAGATTTCCCTGTGCATCTTGGAGGATTCAGTGATTCCGAGGGGAATTTCGGAAATCGAGTGATCCTTTCCCGGGTCCTGTTTGCAGAGTAATCGAAAGGACAGTAAACTGTGTTCAAGCAACATTTAAATTCCGTCATCTACTCACTCAACGAATTTTATAGGGTCTCACTGGTAATTAGTGGATTATTGAAGTTTTCCTACTGAAATGTTTCAGAGTTTAGCACATCGTTGCGCTGTACGTTAGGCTGACAGCGGAAGAACAATAAACGGAGCTGGTTGAAAGGTATGAAGCTAAAGATAGATTTGGAAAGGGTGAAGATAAACTGATGAATTCCCTGTCCTTCACCACTGCAACGATGCCCTTGATGTTTAAAATGAAATCACTGGACACTTTTTAACAACCTTACTCGCAAGCATTTTTGGACCTGGATAGAACACAAATAGCCACATGTGTACACTCTCATGATAGAGCACCGTTGATTTCGTGCAATTATACATCAAACTATTTATGATGTGTGTGTGCCTCATTACTTTATACTTTCCTGTGATGAGTATATTAGATCCAACTTCTCATGCTGGTAGAACTCCATCCATGGTGAAATACAGCGTGGTTGATATACGTGGCAGGTTTACTTCCTGTGCAATGAGAATGTTTAGTGAATCTTTCAACTATGCATATATGCTCTGTATGGCGATTAAATTTAGGGCTGCGCTTAAATGAATATCGCCTGTTGTGTGGAACCAGCAGAACAAAATATTGAGAACAAAAACGTGGCGAACAAGCTCGTTTTTAGTTATTCGTAATCGCACCGTTACATAACGTTATATAACGTTGACACTGCAATCAATTTCAAGAAGGCACATGCATGCATGATCGGAGCCGGAGTTAAACCATTAGGTCTCGGATCTAGCATCCTTGGTTCGTTCCTATTGTTAGTCATATCTAGCGTTTTGTAATGGCATGATTATGAATAGCTGAAAACGAGCTCGTTCGCCAGGTTGTTGTTCTCCATGTGTTCTGTGAGACTAATGAAACGCTTAGAACAAAATATGTTGATAGTCAAAAAATAAAGCAATGGTTTATTTCATCGAAGTATAGAGCAGCCATCGCGTTACTGATTGAATATAAGCTCAATAATCACTAATAAAAAACACGATTTATCCTTTAGGATATTGGCGGAAAAGAAGTATAGAGTTGTCTTCAGTCACCGTTCTGCTGAGCAGAGGAAAAACCAAACACAGTGGCCAGTAGTGCCAAAGGGCATGGATGAAAAAATAAACGACCAAACACACATGAACTCGTAAAATTTCACGTGAACAAAAACGTTTTGCAACTGAATCCGGAATTAAAACTACGGAAGAGCAATCTGGGATATCAGCTAGAATATACTATAATTATTTTCCTATTTTCATTCGGATGAAGTGATTTCATACGTCACAGTTTCAATCTCTGCTCACTAGTTGGGTGTTTCATGATAAGCTAATAGTGTACACTCCGGGCAAAAAAACCAATCAGAAATCACGTTTAATCTGTTGAAATAGGTGTACAGAAAAATATTAACAAACAGATTTTGAGATCTTTCACTGGTGAGGTGTGATGGGGGGATTGGGTGTCATCGATTTCTTTTTGCTCATTACTGGGGTAACAGAGCATCGTAGAACAGGAAAAACTCCCCGCTGATCGGAAAATCCAACAGGCTGCGGATCGGCTTTTGATGAACCACGCCAAGCATCACAAAATGATATGCCACATTCAGGAAGATGGCAATGTATTCGAAAAATGAGAACAAACTGTACACTATAGATTACAGGAGAGAGAAAGGGGAGAGAAAGGAGTAGTGATTACGCTTACGTCAATTTAAAATTAAAAATCAATTTTTAAATTCAAAACAATACAATCAGGTGTATTACGAGTGGCTTGATAATATGTATCTCCAGATCGATCAAACAACCGAGTAGCTTGCATATCATTAACATATTTAGGTATCTTGCAATATTAATTAGCATTTTATGTCACACATAAGTATAAGCTAAAACTTGTCACAATATTTACATACTTGGGTGCATCAAAAGGGGACAAATACCAGACAATGACGATATTGCACATATAACCAGATAGTAAATCAGTTTGAAATGATGTGGAATGATTGTAGCTCGCGATGCGGTTGTTGGTGTTGGTGAGTTCTTCGAGCACGAAGTGTTGTTCGCAGACGTTTTGTAGCCAAGCTAGGCAACATCATCAGTGCAGCATCGAGGAAGCGCCAATCTCCAGTGGGACATGGCTTATATAGTTCTGTTCGAGGGTTGTGATTGGCTGTTTGTGTCCATTTAATCCTACTGGTCATTAGCAATCGTTTGCCGTGATTTGATTGGCTGTTCTGTTGTCATGGTAAACATCCTTTTTCTCATTGGTCGACTGGCTTTGCTAGAGCAACCGCAAACTGGTTTTGAACCGGTT